ATGCACAGCAGGTCACCTGACCATCCAATCCTTCCAGCAGGTTCCAGCACATGCCAAGGTATACCAGCTACTTCCATGTCATAAAGGCTTAGTCATGTCTCTTGACCAAGCAATGAGCTGGTGCCCTGACAACGCCTGCCACATGGCCTCCCTCCTTATGATAAGGAGAAGCCATGGGAGTACATCTTGACTCCCGGACACTTAGGTGCTATTTGTGAGCATGATCCACCTTGCTGGGCAAGGTGCATGGAGACAGCAGACACCTACTGGGCCATCTGACCCCACTATGGGCCCCAATTTGGACTACTCTGGTCCAAGTATAACAAGATGATCAGTCAAATTGGAACCAAAATATACCCCCATGCCAATAATGGGGCAGGCATTTGCCACTCATGGGATGGACACTACTACATCCCAGACCTCCATCTCTGGAAGTTCTTGAAAGATCATTGTCCCCACAATGATAACAAATTATTCATTTGCAGAGATGCAAACATGTTCTATGAGGTCTGCACAGATGTCTTCTCCTCTGAAGATTGCTTCAAGGACCTTGCCCATGTGGCAAAAATCCCTGAGCTCCCCATGCCCCATTGGAGCACATCTGCATGCTTCCAGCATGTGCTTCACATTGTTGATGGCCAGCACACCTGGGACATCATCACCATCATGCATGAGTTTGCAGCCAGTGGGCTGCAAGGAGGGAAACTAGCCACATGGGTCAGCTACTTTGGCCATAGGGCCAGGAAGGCACAGCATGTTGGCCTTCGATTCCCAGAACAACTGCCTCTGGATGCAGGTGTATCAATCTGCAATTGTTCCACCTCCCCAGGCAGATTTCCCTCCCTTGGGTTTGAAACTGGAAGGTTTCCTCTGGAGTGATGAATGTGCCCCTGCTATTGCAGGGCCATCACATGTTAATGTCCCTTTTGAGAAGGACATCTCTCTTGATTATGGTTCTGATGACCATGATGGATACAACAAAGGTCTCTGAGTCATAACCTCCTCCTCTCTGAATGGGGGGGGGGTGTAAGGGATATGTAGATATCCCCATACTTACCATATATGGTAACAGCACCTCTAGGGCGATCAGATCATCCAATGGACTTACACATAGCAGGTGGCTGTAGGCCACCCTTTTCTCTTATCTCTCTTTAGTACACCCAAATGTATTACTACTAGATAGTAATACATTGGATTAGTGTACCTATTGGGAGTGAAAGGGCATTGTAAGCCCTTTCAAGGAGAGTGCACAGAAGACTCTGACTTTGGTGGATGCTGCTGAGCATGACAAAATCAGGCCAAAGTTCAGGAGCTACAATGGATCAATTCTGACATGGTGAATGATAAACACTGAATCAGTGCCAAGTAGTCCTTGCAGATTGTAGACAAAAAGGATTGATCCAGTGCTTCCAAATGCCCCAAAAATGAGAGCTCATTGTTTGTGATGGCAACCTGGGGATGGAGTTCAAGACATTTTGGCAAGTGTCCATACCTTCCTTCTGGAGCTTGGGATAAATTTGGCAGGTTTCAACAGTCCAAATACATTCCCTCAGCTTTGGTCTGATTGAAGAGGCAGATAACCACAGAAACCACATTTTGATGAAACATTGGCAGGTTCATTTCAGGTGAGCCAGTGCAAGGTGCCAGAACTGTCTAGAATCCAGACAAATAGCAATCCGTGGGCCAGGCAACAGAAGGTGTTGATTGCCGGAAAGACTAAATTTGTACAACCCATGAGAGCTCCTCCAATGTTATTTTGAGCCAATTTTCATGGAACCTAATGACGTCGTTGTCTAATCTCCGAAAGGCCATGAGCACTTACAAATCAAGGGATTGGCACCGCCACATTACCACACCCCATCGGTTTTTGCCAGCGTGAGAAACAGCGCATCTCATCTTCCTCTCTTCATTGACAAGGCCCTTGGTAATGCTCTTATTAGGGAGAAGATTGACTTGGATGTGTCACCTCGATTGAAAAGCGACTAATAAGGTGGTGCTATTTAAATCTCTGCTTGCTCAGCTCAGCCCACTCGCAACTATGATCAACGTGACGTTATGGATCCTTGGACCGAGCCCTGTACAACGCGAAGGGTATAAAAGCGCGCATTTCTCCAGGAAAGCATATGAACAACTTCCCCCAGCATCAGCGCAAGTGCTTGCTACCGCAAAGTCGAACCATCGAGCCAAATCAAACTAGCTTCTCTCTTACAACCCAATGTCTCCGACTGTATACCTTGTCTCTGGTGCGAATCGTGGTATCGGCCTCGGCCTCGTCACATCCCTTGCCACCCGTGCGAATGTCATTGTCTTCGGCGGTGTTCGTGACCCGTCGTCTGCCACGGATCTCAAGGCACTGCAAAACAAGTATCCGAGAACGGTCCACATTGTTAAGCTCACCTCGGCGAGCCGGTCAGACAACCTCGCAGCGATAGAACAAATCAAGCGCACTGCTGGAAGGCTGGACGTTGTGATTGCAAACGCGGGCATAGCCAAGTTCTGGGGTAGTATCCTCGACACCCCAGAAGAAGAGATGCGTGAGCACTACGAAGTGAACGTCGTTGGACCCACCGTGCTGTTCCAAGCAGCCTGGCCGCTATTGAAAAAGTCGACAAGACCCGATTTTGCTATCATCTCGTCTGTTGCTGGCAGCATTGCAGTTGGTGCAGCAATGCCTGCTGGTGTCCTTGCATATGGCGCGAGCAAGGCCGGTGCCAACTTTCTTGCAATGAAGCTCCATTCGGAACATCCTGAGCTGGGTACGTCTCTTTCTCCTCAGGTTATATCACAAATTCTGACGACGACCCAACAGTTGTTATTCCGATCCATCCCGGTTCCGTTGCGACCGATATGGGCGACTACGGCAAGAAGAACGACGCCGTGATCCGAGAACTTACATTCATCCCTGTGGAGAAGAGTGTTGGAGGCATCCTAAATGTGGTCGATGATGCTAAACGCCCGCTGGATGGACCGAAAATGATCAGCTACGACGGCTCGGTGATACCGTGGTAAGGGAATCACGAGTATCAGGAATGACCAGCCAAGTGTAGGATACACCACTTGAATCCACGGAGGCCATTAGATTCGTTAGGCATGTATGTATAGAGAATATAACACGTCCCCCAAAAATAACCTGCCGCTGAGCTGTCTGCTATGAAGAACCCGGACTCGACCCGGCAATATTGAGGCGAGTGTAGACAAAGTGCGACTCGTCAGGCAAGAGGGGATGGCCCTACCTTGCCCTACTATACCTGTCGCCAGGAGAAAACAACCCACGCACTCGCCTCCGCAGAAATGCTGACTCAACCTCGTGTTATAAAAGCGTCGACCCAGATTATATCGGAATAACATCATCTCCGATTCAGGCCCACGTAACTGAAACGGGTGGACCTTGCTCCGATTTGCACCCCTCCACCTGGATCGCTCGAGAAGGCAATCGAACGGAAGCGATGACTATGACTGTCACCGACCGTGGCAAATGGAATGCTATTAACGATTGCTAAGATATGATGCTCTGAAGAAAGAAAATGGCATATATAAGCCGGGCAAGACGGCCTTTGGGGATGGCAGCAACAAGCCAACTTTCAGTGGTACATTCGAGAATAACACCAATCTTTGAAGACGGCAATAATCGAAATGTCTCCTACTATTTACCTTGTCTCTGGTTCTAATCGTGGAATAGGTATGTTCAGCATTCACGATCAATATATGCATTCGCTCAACCCAAGCATATAGGACTTGGCCCAGTCACCCAGCTCGCAGCCCGTCCAGACACCATCGTGTTTGCCGGGGTGCGTGATCCTGGTAAGGCGACTTCTCTTCAAGCACTCGCCGCCCAGCATCCCAAAACTTTCTATGTTATCCCTCTGATATCTGCCGATGAGGCCAACAATGCCAACGCCATATCTCAGATCCAATCGATCACGGGCAGGCTGGACGTCGTGATCGCCAATGCCGGTATCAATACCTTCTTCGGTCCCGTCCTTTTAACCTCGCACTGAGGTCGCCCTTGAACATCAACGGGTGAACTACATCGGCCCACTGGTACTGTTCAAGGCTGCCTGGCCCCTGTTGGAGAAGGGTGAACATCCGAAATTTGGTATCATCAGTAGCTTGGCGGGGAGTATTGCCGTTGGTGCGGGCCTGGATTCAGGCTTACTTGCATATGGTGCTAGCAAGGCTGCCGTGAATTATTTGGCGGGGAAGATCTGGCAAGAGCACAAGAATCTCGGTATGTTTTGATCCTCGTCGTCCCCGTATTGGACGTTGATGGAGGGTGTGTGGGCAGTGGTTGTTCCCATCAATCCAGGTGGTGTGGCGACGGACAGCAGCCTTTGCCCAGAAGAACGATCCACTTATGGCGTCCATGTCGCTTATCACTATCGAGGAGAGCGCGACGGGTATCCTTAATGTGCTGGACAAGTCTGAGCGCGACTCGGGCATGAAGTTCATGGATCAGGACGGGAGTATACTGCCCTGGTAGAAATCGAGGAGAAAGATGCGTGTGTGGACTTGATGTAATTGCGGAATCGGTACAAAGAAACTTCTTCATGTCTATATTCACTCATGTAAATGAGTGAATCGACCTGAACGTTTCCTACTTCCTTGGTTGCTTCTTGGGCAAAGGTTCGAGATCAGCCCTGGGGCAGTCGCAAGGGATATGGTCGCCATTGGGCAAACGCACGACCCTCATGACATCCATGAGACTGTTCGACATTGACGGGAGCGCTTAAGTGAGTTAGGTTCCGAATGAGGTTTGCTTGCGGTGGAGACATGAGCATATTCATGCCTCGATGGACGGTTTCGGCTGACCGGCTTGGTGGCTGGGAGTAGACGTAGGACGAGAACAGAACGGAAGATCTATACAAGTCATAACTGCTGCAATAAATGATAGAAATCAGGAAGAAAGCGGAATCCATGAGTTGTCCAATTCATGGGTTACTTGTTCTGATCCATTCGTGGGGGCAGGGTCGAGCATTGTGATGCTGGAGACCTCCAGCTGAAAGAGGGGGCCTATCTGCTGCGGGATACAAGTCAACTTTATAAGTCAAGCTGCCATCATGGGTCCCTTTCGCTCCAGACGCTGTTCATAACGCGTAGTGGTGTCTGGGGAGATTCGAACATGGATGTTCTGCAACATGGTGCACGTCGTGGATGAAGATGGAGGTATCACGTGACTTCAGTCTGTAGCGCCCGACCCTGCCCAATCAGACACGTTGTCCTCCCTTATTACAAGCCTGCTCGGTATCCCTTGTTGTTCACGTGCATTCTACCTCGCAAACCGCGAACTGCCCCTGCTATTCTGGAATTGTATACTGTCCGTGGGGATGAGGTGCAAAGCGCTGCGACGTTGGATACACAACAACTGCGTGAGGCCCCACGCGTAATCCTATTCGCAGATTTCGTAGGACACATCCCAACTACGAGCACCCGCAGATCATGTTCTATGATGACCGGATAGTGTCCTGGAATACTGATATAGGAGCCGTACGACCGCATTTCCTAGGATTGTGTCCCACTAACACAAGTTCTCCGAGATCGCAATGTCCTCTACCACACCCACAGTTTGGCTCGTGTCAGGAGCTAACAGAGGCATCGGTACGTCCGTGTTAATCTGACGAAAGTTGGGCATCTCAATCCTAACGAAATTTCCCTCAGGGCTCGGTCTCGTAACTGAGCTTGCGGCTCGTCCCGATACAATCGTCTTCGCGGGTGCACGCAGCCCGTCCTCCGTCGATGCGCTGCAGGCCCTCGTGACCGAGCATCCTGGGAAGGTCCACATATCGGAGCTCATATCTGGAGACGTGGATGGGAACCGTGCTGCTGTGAAGGAGGTCGAACGTATTGCCGGGAGACTGGATGTGGTGATTGCGAATGCGGGTATATGCGACTTCATGGGCCCTGCAATGGAGACCAGTCCGGAGGTCATGAAAGAACATTTTGAGGTACGCATACCCTCATTCACCCCACGCCATACCTCTTAGCTGACTTACCTACCCCACACAGGTGAACGTGGTTGGCACGCTTGTTCTCTTCCAATGTACCTACGCGCTTATCTCTCGTTCGAGCCCGCAGCCAAAGTTCATCCCCGTCTCGAGCGGCGCTGGGAGCCTTAAGGATGGCACACGCTTCTTCCTCCCCGTCATGGCCTACGGGGCGAGCAAGGCCGCGGAGAACTATCTCGCGAGGAGGCTGTGGTTTGAATATCCTAATCTGAGTAAGTAACACAACACCGCAGAACTAGTGAGCGCTGACTGGTATGCGGGATAGTCTGCTTTCCCATCTCTCCTGAAGCGGTCAAAACTGACCTGCGTACGTCGTTCGGCTTCATCTTCCCTTTCTCTCTCTCTAACCTAAGACCCAGCGACCAAGGCTCTCATCGCCAATCCGCGTGTCGCCGACGATCCGCGCCTTGCTGCCCTCCCTTTGCAGTCGGTCGAAACCGTCGCCAGCGATATATTGAGGAGGGTGGATGAAGCTGTTCGAGGGGGCGAGGAGGGCCCGGGGTTCGTCAAGTCGGATGATGGATCCGTGAGGGCTTGGTAAAGGGATGTTGGCATAAGGATCCTTATCGAATATGTCGGTGTGAAGTAAGACACGTCAGCAGACATTGTGATCTTGACAATGAATTTGACTGCAGCTCGATAACGACACCAAAGTTTCATCTGAACCAGATCATGCCATCCGAGTCGAGCGTGCTTGACCTGCGCATATGTAAATCAGCCTCGGCCTCACGTGTCTCGTGTTTACATGGTGTTGTGCCAATCGGGTTACCCTATTCTGGACCACCAACGTAACACGATGATAGAACTCCGAATAGGAAAAGGCTATTCAGAGCTTTCCCCGCACTGAAGTGTGCTCCCATGCATACCCCACGGCCTGCCCACCGACCGGCAGGGTCTTCGGCAACATCCATCTGATCCCTACTTGCCAAGCGCATCAATCTCTGTTCTTGCCCACACTATGAAGCTGCGTCAACCAGTTCGGTTTCAGCTTTGCCTCGACACACGCTGCACGACCCCGACAATGTCCATGACCAACCCATGCACGAAGCATATCGTACTTGTTGCGAGCGAGGCGGAAGGAGGAATCAGCAGTTCGCTCAGTCCAACATAATACGCTCAGGAAATGTCTAGTACCCCTACTGTCTATCTCGTGTCCGGGTCTAATAGAGGCATAGGTATGTCTGCCACAGTCATAAACGGCTAGTCAATCACAACCGTTGTTACAGGATCGGGTCTTGTTACACTCCTTGCTGCTCGGGAGAACACGGTCGTCTTCTGTGGCTGCCGCAACCCTGCAGCAGCGACTGACCTCGACGCCCTCGTAGCCAAGCACCCAGGCAAAGTGCACATCGTCAAGATTGTCTCTGGCGATTTGGAGGGCAACAAAGCCGCTGTAGAGGAGGTTAGGAAGATTGCTGGGAGGCTGGATGTCGCGATCGCCAACGCGGCCATTGGCAACTATTTGGGGCCCGCTTTGCAGACCCCCCCAGAAGCTATGAGGGAGCATTTCGAGGTATGCATATATCATTTTGAACAGATCAGGATTCAGTGCTATCGGAATAGGTGAACGTCATTGGCACCTTGGTTTTCTTCCAAGCTGTGTACCCCCTCCTTAAGGCCTCTACCGAGACTCCCAAGTTCATTCCCATTGCCTCCGGGGCTGGGTCCATGACGGACGGAGCGCGTTTCCCAGTCCCCGTACTGGCGTATGGAGCGAGCAAGGCTGCAGAGAACTATTTAGCCAGGAAGCTGTGGTTCGAGTGTCCGGGGTTGATTTGCGTGCCCATTGAGCCAGGAGGTACGAAAACCGGGCTCAGTATGACTTTAATCCTCCTCCCCTTCAATAGGATATCCTGACACGGGTTTAGCGGAAACTGTCATCCAGGCTGTCCCGCAAATGGCTAATTATCCCTTCCAGTCCGCGGAGGAGGCCGCGGCCAACCTGCTCAAGAGGATTGACGAAGCTGAGCGGGGAGGAGATGATGGTCCAGGGTTTGTCAATGCAACAGATGGAAGTATCAGGCCTTGGTGAGAGAGATGAATTAGAAAACAATCGTTGTGGAAGAAGAATGTTGCATTTGGAAGAGTACATGCCTGTGGAATAAATTCTGTCAAGGGTTGTCAGCTTTAGTCCCTATCGTCGATCAAGCTTGTACAAGACACGACTCCATTCCTGCATTAAGATGCGCATTGTCATCCTCTCATCACCTCGTCGCGGGCCAACCCATGCGAGCTGTTCTTATTCTCCTGGTTAGCTACTGGCTGCTCCCCTATGCAGGGGCAGAGGACGACGTTCTACTCGACATCCCTCCTCTGGTATCCAGCGTCCTTGGGATCTTGCCAGTGCCAACCGAGACTGCACCGATCATAACAATAACAGTCACAACGACAGTAACTGCAACGACTACAGTAACAGAAGCATGCAGTCCTTCGATCACATCTAGCTCTCCACCGATGATCTGGCGCCAGTCGTTGACCATGACGGACCTTGATGAGTGGAATATAACCAACTTCGCTTGTGGCAAACAGAACCTGAACATTGTGTCATCCATCCCTCTCCCACTATATGCATCAGCTCCTATTGCTACAGAACTCGTTTCACTCACCAACGACATCCCAATCATCATCGCACGGGGACCAGGACCGTTGCCGCCCACCGAGTCGCCGTCACTGCTGCGCATCACCTACCCTATCCATTCGTCCGACCCCTCCCTAACCCCCCTCGGCGGCGCCGACTTCTATTCCAATCCCCTTTCCATAGCTCTCAAGAACGCCACTTCCGTATCCCTGTCCTACTCAGTATTCTTCCCCCTCGAGTTCGACTTCGTTCGGGGAGGGAAACTGCCGGGGTTGTATGGCGGTGCATATGGATGTTCGGGTGGGAAGAGTGCCGAGGAATGCTGGAGCTCGAGATTGATGTGGCGGAGAGAAGGAGCAGGAGAGCTGTATTTGGTATGTGCAACAAGTTTCACGCATGTCATACACCACCCTGACCCTTCTGTACGCACGCAGTATGCTCCAAAAGCGGCCCAGACTTCCGCGCTTTGCTCCACCCCACCACTCACTATATGCGGTAGTGCAGACGGGCAATCCATCGGTCGTGGGTCATTTAATTTCACTCGTGGAGCGTGGACACACGTGTTACAGAGGGTGACGCTTAACACCCCTGGGGAGTGGGACGGAGAGTTTGAGTTGTGGGCGAATGGGAAGAGGGTGATTAAGTTGGATGGAATGTACTGGAGAAAGGCTGCGACTCCCAGCACCCCTGATGAAGGACATGAGGATGAAACTGGGGGAGCAGGCGATGAAAGCGAAGAAAACTCCCCCCTTCTGGACCAGCTGCAGGGGATCCTAATCGAAACATCCTCCCTATCCCTCGGATACTCAGGTTTTCTCCTCAAACCGGCCCTCGTACCCTCAATGAACAATACAACCCTTTCTCAGACAGCTTTGCGACCAAATGCGAACGGCGTCGCTGGTGCAGGAACGCATCGTCCACCCGAGCGAGGAACGAACACGAGTCTCAAGCCCAAAACGAGCAAGACTACCAAAGGAGCTACATCTCCTCATGGACCGCCCGGCTTCTCAGGCATCTTCTTCTCGACTTTCTTTGGCGGCTCCGGTCCTGAATGGGCTACTCCGGAGGAAACATGGACGTGGTTCAAAGACTTTGAACTGGTGGTGCATTACTAGCTCCTAGGCAACAGCAGTTGCCCAAGTTCAAATGTCTTTGGGGTGGTCTTCCCTTACAAGTTCCAACTTCTCATATGCAGTCTTCAACACGAAGTTAACGATGGGATAGGTGGGCATCGCCCTCTGAGGAATTTCCTTTGTACCGACTGATCTCGACGCAGGTCTCGAATGCGCTCGTCCGAACATTGCAATCTCGGGGGTATGTCCGATGTCCATGTGCGAGCCAAGTGCATGACTGAGGAGTGTTCGAGCCCTTGGTTAATATCGCCAGAGGAGAACAGCACTCGGTACGTTATTCCATTGCCTCTGTCTTATACATAACGCGCCTAACTGATCTCTCTGTATGTGCGCAGAGCATGCTCAGAGAGTCGCCCAAATATCGCATGTCGAATATTGAGTACTCAGTATGCAATATTGCTGCAAAGCACTGACCTGTCCATCCCTCCCACGTCTTTCAGTCCACTCGTTTCCGACCCGCCGTTATCCTCGCCGGCAACCCAAGGTTTTCCCCAGGTTGAGGTTGATCCGTCATGAACTGCGAACTCCGTTTCCATCGGAGGAGTATGGCGGAGCAAATGACAAAACTCTTGCTTCCGTCAGCGATCCCCGTATACGGTACCATACTGAGCTATACTGAGGCAAAATGTCGGTATTAACCCGTATTTGTACCATTCTCACAGTATCTACAAGTATTCCCCAGTATACATGACTCGGGATCAGTATTGTATTCTTCAGTATAGGTATGGTATTCTTCGGTATTACCATTTCATGGTATATCTTTCATACTGTCTTGTACTCATACTGTATTCAACCAATCATTCCCAACATTATGTAGTAGTGTGCAAGAGGGACCCCATGACACTCTGTGTGCCCTTCTCTTTACCAGAATGTTTACCCACATCTCTCTCCTCACTGGGGTCCAAAAGTTCATCATACTACCATTTCCCATTCCTCCATCATCAAACTCTATTTTGTTCCCCTCCTATCATTCCACTGCCATACAGCAGGGGAGTACTGGAAATGCACTACTCAGGCAACCCTCCTCAGGTATGCCTACTCAGCCTCCATGGTTTCTGCCACAATCACCTGCCCCTGCCAGAATCCCTCTTCATTTCAATCTTACTATGAAATACAGCAGAATACCATAATTGTATTTGAGGCTATAGCTACATATCCTGTGGCCCTAATAGATGTGCATACTCAATGGTGCAGTACACTTGCAGAGCACACTCCCACCAGCTATAGTAATCTGCCAGCATTATTCCCCACCTATACCCCTCAACTTGTGAGTTGAAGTAGAACAGCTCTTCTTGGCTCATAGGACATGCAGCATCATCCACCCAAAACTGTGTGAATCCTGTTGGCTGGGCACCAACATGATGTTGCATCAATGCCTCATCTTGCAGGCCCTGCCAATCAATACTGAACATATCCCTCCTGCTGTCCCCAGACCAGTTCCACAGAGTACCATCATGAAGCCCTCAATAGCCCTTCTCCAGCATACCAACCATCCACCTCTCATTCAGTGATTTCATCCATCCTTCCCAACTCTGTAATGGGTGGAAGTTCCATGTTTGTCGCCATAGTTTTGCATCTCAATTGATATCTGCAAGGAATACATAATGCAACAGCCACATATGGCTGTTCAGTGCGATATCCAGCTCTCATTTGTGTATCATCCATGATGCAACATTGAGGTTTTTGAGCCCATGATCTCCACAAATGCAAGAGGGAGTTCCATACCATGTACATGCATCCCAAATCATGGTGAACACCATATCCTTGCAGTTGTTTGTAGACACACAAATACCAGTACATAGACATGAATGACCATCTATGAATGCATGGTGCACTATTCCATGTCAAACATCTGCTACTCATATCAATTAGCATCTTTTGGGTTCTAGTGTCAATGGTACATCAGCTCACCTAGATTTGCATTGAGATGCCATAGAGCATGTGGACCAGCCACTTTGTAATGTCTCCATTCCGCAGGAATCTGATCTCCAAATTGACAGTGTGGTGCCACTCAGTGAAGAGATCCTTGTATCTTCTTTAGCAGTACCTGTATCCCCAAGGCCAGGAAGTACTCCCAAACCATAGATCATCCCATATGTGGAAAGGTCTCCAGCACTCTAGATACCTCAGTATCCAGTTCATTCTCAGACCACAACAAGCAGGATTGTCTTGGTGCATGTTGGATGTGTACAACTCTGGATCCTGCTGTGCATGCCACATAGACTGGTTCTTCCTTGGGTCATAGTCCCAGGTCCACTATATGCTGCCTTAGAGTTCTTGGAGAGACCTCAAGCAGCTTTGCAAGAACTGACAAGCAAGGTACCACACGCAAAGCAGCAGTCAAGAAATCTTTGTTGAACACAAACTTCCTTTGGCCTCCCTGGTTCCCATGTGATACCCAGGTTGCTGGACAACCCTGTGCCATTATTGACCTATCCTCTGCTTCAAGGCCCTTCTCCACATCACATTGCAAGGCATGAAGTTGTTCTTTGGCACTATAAGCTTCTTCTTCTGGTAGTAGTTTCCATACCTAGGATGACCATCAGCATTGTACACCTCATTCTCTGAGCCCTTCCCTGACCTCTCCCAAGACACCCAAGAGCCACACCACTTCTGCTTGTGTTTGCTCCCAGTAGGCTTGATCTCCCATGTGACCTTCCAGCCCTCTTTGAACATGAATCCCTACTTGTGCAAGTGCAGCCCTAAAATGAAGAGCCAACTGTATTGCTGCAGCAGTAGGCAAAGCCATTGGTGTGGGTCATTACTCACAAACATTGGACATAATATGTCCAAGCATAATTTCTCTTATCTCAAATTGATGCAGTATGATATTGTATGATGGGGTATATTACAGTATACTTTGGTATTGTTTGGTATTCCCCTGTATCTGATGGGAGCAAATGGTGCTCTCACAACCATTGTGTTTGTCCTTCACCACACCATTGTCCTTCATACATACCTTTCACCACCCTCATCTTGGGATGCCTATCCAACTACAGAATCAAGTCCTCCCCTCTCCTGCTACAGATTCTTTCCCTCACCTCAGGAAGTGTTGACAAGCTGACAAAACTCACGCCCCCCCCCCCCCTACACCAACCCACCCCATATACCCAGCTGTCTCCTTCAATGCATTACAACCACCTGCCAACCAATACAAACAACTGCCTTTGTTCAGTGACACCAATGTGATCCATGATGCCAACAATGAAGAAGTTACTGTGTGACCTGATGGCCATGATTCACCTGAACATATTCACCCATCTGCAACCCCAGCCAAAATTAACTGACTCTTCACACCCAGTCCCATCCTCATGACACACCACATTCCTCCCACAAGTGTGGACTTTCAAGTGCCATCCACCATGCATATTCTATTCAATGTCCAATATCCATAATTGATCTCTAATGTTGTAGACACATGTTGATCCTCTCCTCAATCTGGCATGTGAGAATCCAGTCAATCCCATATCTGAGCATCACATCCATTCAAGCTCAACCAGCCTGCCAGACAGCAGTATCTTGCAGACTGAAGGGCCATTGGTAACCTCTGATCTATGGTACTCCTTGGTCTCATGCACAGCCGCCTCTAGCTCTACCTCAACAATCACATCTCCTCCGGATACCACTGAAAAGCCAGCATTGGCTGACATCATTCCTTCTCTCATTGACATGTACAGAGCACCAATCTCGTCTTCCCCTCCACCACATGTTTCTGATTATCTGTTCTGCAATGAGTCATTTTCAAGCATGCAGGTTGTACAAGCCTCTGTCTCACCATCTCAGGCAACAGACAGACCTTGTTCTATTCTCATGCTGTTCAGTAACAACTTATCAGCACTTCCTGAAGGGCATCTCATTCATCATGCAGAACTAGATCCAGCCATTTACCAAGTTCAAGAGGGAGTAATGCACACCACCATAGATGTGGTCATGCCTATTGTTCTCCACCATGTCACACCCGTGAGTGGTTGGGAGGCATACCACTCTCATCATCAGCTCTGGTTATCACACATACTGATAACCATTCATTCAGTGAATGCACTTAATCATGGAGGTTGGTGGCTGTCTTCTGCTTTCGATGCCATCAACTGCCAGTTCATTACTGCCTGGGGTATTGTCTCTGTATTGCCCACATCCCCTATTACTCAACAGTTCTGCATTTCCCAACTGCAACTCGCTCACCTTGACAAATCTATGTTCATCTTATGCTTCCAGCTCTTGAAGGTATTGTTTCCCTCCTTACCATCCTATGATTTCTAACCTGATGTTGCCAGGAATCACCTTATCTAGGTGGTGATCCCATACCAGTCTTGACCTCAAATTCAACAATGTCATCCAGTCCTATGCCTGTCAGGCTCGAAGTCAATGAAGACACTTCATTACTTACACCTGATGCAGGTGTCCCTGTTGTCCACCCCAATACCATCTGGCCAACACAGAATCCTGCCATTGTACCATTGAATACTGCCAGCGCACCATCCAATGCCACCCTCACACCATGAAAAGCAACACTCACTGCTCCAATCACACTGACCCAATCTGCAGGCAGTACTCCTTGTTTGGAGCATCAAGACTGGCCCAACATTCCATCTCTCTCTCACATGGTTTCATTGGCACCAAATAACTTGGCTGCTTCCTCTGCCAGTGCCACTTCACTCACAATCTTTTCTCCCTCCCTTACCCCCTCCAATTCCCCTACTTCCATGGTGGCCCTCCGAGCTTCTTCCTCACTCAGGCCTAGTACTCCCCCCTTCAATCAAGCACTGGTCCATACCAATCATGCATTCAATTCAGCCTCATTGGGCCGGCCCCCAACAGGGTCAGATAGTCAGTATTTGACCATTCTCTCCAATTATTTGCACCACATGCCCAATTCATCTCAGCTTCTCCAAATGGCTTGTACTGAAAATAGGTGTGCCCCCATGATTGCCAAGTTCCAGCAATGGCATGCAATCAAGGCCATCATGGTACATCTTGGTCTCATGGATAATGATGCCTGGCCAAATGACAACACCATACTCATCAATGAAGTACCTGTAGCTGTGACACAAGTACTGGAGTGGCTCAAATATCCATACAACACATTCAAGAATAAGCACACACTTGTGAACCTTTTCAGTTCAATTTTGGTGGAACTTGAGAACAAGATCTATGAGGCCAATGTGCATTTACCATCCCTGTTGCAATATTTTGTTGATCCAGACTCTCCATGGCCAGATTCTCATGGACCTGGTACCTCAATTGCCAAAAGAACCACAGCCACCATCAAAGAGACAGAGCTGGAATGCCATGCACAAAGAGCTCTCCCCACCCTCAAAATCAGGGGCAGGAGTATTGGGTATGGTGCCTGTACTGTATCCCATTTGTAGAACAAGCAGGTATGGTAGATCCAAGTGCAGCCTGATACAGTAGCAGTACATACCATCATATATCACCCATTTATGTTGGAATGAGATACCTTTATGTATTGATCAGTTTGTTATGCAAGCAGTATGATATCCAAAATGCAGGAAGAGCAAGTTGTTGTATCAACACTAAACACACATGCAGGGACCAAATTTGTGCTGCAACAATTGTTGTATTGATGAAACATGAATACAGAAGAGTTTATTCCTTTCCTATCCTTTAAGTACAGTATGTATGAGAAGAGGTAGTTTGAGCCAGGAGAGGTAAATGGCTGAGCAGACAGAAAAAAAGGACATGAGGGATAAGTTGGGCACATTCCATACCAGATGGTATCAGACCCTCCACAAGAACACTAGATAAACAGACATAAAAGTTCAGACTGAGCATGAGAACATTGCACTATCAGTGGAGGAGATAGAAATATACAAGGCATCAGTCCATTCCAGATGGTACAGATCCTTCCACAAGAATATGAGCAGGAAAAAAGCAGGGTATTTGGGATATGTGTATGCACATATATTGGGACAAGGCTGGTACTTGTCCATATCAGTTGGTATTCCAGATGCTAAGCTAAGCATGTAAAAGCCTATATATGATGCGAAGCACACAGCACACAGTCATCATGGTGACAATGGCCACAATATGAACACATGTACACTCAGTCTTGTCCAGCTCCTCCATCCCATCAAAATTCATAAAAATGTGGCTCCTGGTGGACTCCTCTGTTTGCTCCTGCTCATTGATGGCACTGGAGAAAAAATGAGCTATGATGTTCACAAGAACACAGACACATGCCATACATCAGTCGCTGAAGCAAGTCTTCCAGCATGCATTGGCACACTGCTCAGTTCTCCTCCTTGTACTTCTTCAGGTTCAGGAGGTAGGCATAGTAATGGGACTCAAAAGCCTTGCTTCTGAAGCTCACCTTCTCATCATGCTGTGCAGCACCAGAAGCATCCTGTTGGAGTGTGAAGTGAAGCTACCATGCCAGTCAGTGTCAACAAAGTAAATAGGTGTTGCACTGCGCACTGTCATGCTCAGCACAGCAACCAGTCCCAAGGGCCACATATCTGCCTTAAAAAGATCTTTGTATTCCCAAGCCAAGCCCTTGACTGTACCAGGATTCCCCAGGAATGCCCTGTCATATAGCATCTTGATCACGGGATGATGGAAAGGGCCATGGTGTTTCTTCACAACATTGCTGCTCAACTCAATTTCAGCATAGACCAGGTTGTTGCCACTGAGAAGCATGTCAACCATGCGACAATGAGCATGCATTGCCAAAGAGGGACACAGGGAGAACCTATATGCATCTATCACCACCTCCTGGGCCAAGGTCTTCAGGCAACTTCTACCCCAGGTGCTGTTGCCCAAAATCTGCCCTGACTTTAGCATACAGTGTGGTGTGATTAGCAATACAAACAATGTACCATCTTTCCAAGTTCTGGGTACAAGGCAAGATCCAGCTGATAACTTGGTGCCTTGCCTTTTTTATTCTGTTTCAAAACCCATGGCCTTGGCACATTTGTTGGCGATAGTGACAGCATTGTCCAAGTATTCTCAAGTCTGCTGAGTCTGAGGGTAGAAGTTGATTGTATACAGCTGGACATGGAAGATCTTCTTGGCGTTGTTAACAATATTTTGAAGTGGGACAGGGTATGAAGACAAGCACTGTTTCTTTGACTCAGGTGTGATTTGCTTTGTTTGAGAAGGGTGACCAGTGGTGTGCTTTCTTGGGTATGTGCGGGATTCAGCATTGTCCTTCTTAATGGTCCTTGTTTGATCAGTTTCATAGATCTGTGATTGGTATTAGCTGGTGTTCATCCAGAGGTGGTATTCACATGTACTCAGTCAGTATCCTCATATTCATCCACCAACTCAATCTCACTACCATCCTCACCACTAGAGCTGGATGGCAGCTGCTTGACAGTATACCACCATGCTACCTTTGGCATGGTGGAACTCAATAGTTCTTCTAATGTCATGTCTGTGTGCTTGTGTCAAGGTGGAGGAGAGGCAGAATTATGATAATGCTGCATTAGGATTAACATGTGTTGTGGCAGAAAGACATACACTCACCTTCTCCAATCATGGAGATCTTGGTGGCAAGGGGTGCAAATCAACAGACAAGTTGATAACTTCACAGCCAGACAGGGTGTGGAGAATTGTGCCAATTTGCCATGAGTGCAGGACATCAATAGATGGCTCGGACTTGATGGTAGGACCTTGAACAGCAGTGCCATGCACAATCTCAGTGAAATGCTCTTGAGCATTTTTAGAGCCTGAGAGGTGTCAGTAACTTGGAACATCACACATGCCCTGAACACATGAGTACAGGGAGGATGGGCCATGGTATCATTGTTCCCTGCAGTGTCACTAGATGCCTTGATCACACGTCCTTCATGTGTTGACAAGTGAGCCACAGATGAAGTTACTTGTTGGATCTATGAACCAAGTGAGCTGGGATGACTACCAAGTAGACTACTCACAATCTCCGGAGAAATGGGCCAGAACTGTGTGACACAAATGGCAGTTGCCTTTCATGTCTGTTCTTCAAAGTCCATCCAAACCCACTTTCAGGATGTTGTTGTCCAGGAAAAGAAAAAGAAAAACAGTGTTGGAAGGGGGAAGGGCAGAGACCACATTCATGACTGAAGGCAACTCAGGTATCCCTTCATATTGGAATGGGCCCAGGGTTGAATGTGTCACAGTGGCAGGGGTATTTGATGCATCACAGTGGATCAGGTCCTCCCACCTTGGGTATCCTCAGTATATCTCAGTATGATGTGGTATTCCTCAGTTCCACCCTGAGAAAGGGCCCAATCAGTGGGAACCAATGTATTGGGGCAGAGATAGAAGGCCTGAATCCCACTCATGGGCTGGAAGTCCACATGGTAAAGAAGCTGCTTATATTGTTGCAGGTTGCAAGGCACCAGCAGATTTAGGCACTTCTCCCTGATCATTGGCAAACAATATTAATCATTTGAGTATGACTCTGCCATATCAATTTAATTGCCCACTATAGACTCAATTTGACTACAACAGTGGTATTTGAAAAGGGGGTTCAAAGCTACTGGCTATGCACACAACACTACAAACTGGGCCAAACATGTTTAAGTACAGCCAAATCTGTCAAACAAGAGTTCATTGTCTGTTCCCATAGTTAGTCACTAATCATCATACCTGCCCATAGCGTACCTACTAAATGACCCAATCCTGCCACCTCATAATGCAGTCATGCACAAGGGCGGGGCGAGGGGGGGGNGGGGG